ATACACATAAAAATAAATCTTTAAAATACATGAAAAGAAATTTAATTCAAACCAGTTCTGCATCACTAATTTAATGAGAAGTTTTAATCAAAGAATTATGGAATATATTTTCCTGAAATAAAAATGAGTATAATGTAATATAAAGTCTATTGTTGTGAAAGATATAGGACACAGAAATTTGTGATTACTTCAACCTAGAATATTCTATGTCAAATTCTATATTTAACAAAATGAAGATTTTCATTAGTCCCATGATTGTTTTAAAACTGTGTCTAGAGAGAAAACAGAAGAAATAGGTTTCAAACTCAAAGAGTGCTAAACCCAACATTACCCCAATTCTTGACCAAGAAGACCCTCCAAACTTAAACAATGAAGAGTGAAGGACCATTGAAGAGAATACAGGTTTTGATCTATAATCACCACAATCACCACAAAAAAGTACTTCCCAGATTCAGATCTGTTCACAAAGCAGATGAAATCATCAGAATAGCTTGTCATTTGGGGTCTAAGAACCTGTCAGGAGCTTTGATGCCAAATGCTGCACTGAGCCTGAGTGTTGACCAGGCCCAGGCCCTAGCAGCAGAGAGCCCCTAGTCTCTCTGGGCCTCAGGTCTCCCATAGATAGTATCAACAAGTAGAAATTACTGCTACTATCTTCCAATACCATAAACACAAAGACCAGTGATTCTATCTGTAACAACATGAGCTCATTATTTATAGTTCAAAGATTTAAGTTTCTCTCAAGGGACCTCTTGGTAACCATGGAAGTCAGACCCCTAAATGGAACAGGGCAGGGGCTCCTTTGTCCAATCAAAGCCAAGAAAGGCTTACCAGTGCTTCTCTCAAAGATGAAGTAACAAAAATGTAAATAGAGCTAAAGGGCTCTACACTCTTCAAGAACATTGCATGTTCAATCCACAGCTAGGTTTTGGGTGTTTTTTTTTTTAAAAAAAAAACTTAAAAACAAATTTATTGAGAACGTCATACACGCACATAAGAGGCTTTAATAAAATATACACCCATTCCCTCCCCTCCAACTCCTCCTATATCTCCCCCCATCACTTTTTCTGGCAACTTTGTGTACTCTCTTTTTTTAATGGGGCTTTTTGATACTCTAACATTCCTCCCTCTGAAGAGGTAACCCTAAAATCTTTTAGGGATTAGATAAGAGCTCCACTTTTAATCAACGAGGATTCAAAGACTCATGTATGATAGTACGCTATGATCAAGGTTGGTAAACCATTGATCAAGGTTGGTAAACTGTTATTACGGAGGAAAAAAAAAATCCCAAAAGTGCTGTGAAAGAGAATGTTTTCATTCAGGAGACACAGAAATATTTTCTTGAGAAAGTCCAAGATCTGAGAGGATTCAAACACAGGCTGAGCTTTGACCTACAGAAACCTACTGCCAAAGAGCATTTCAGGCAGACACAAACGAGAGTACTGAAGCAAAAGCACGAATCACAGGCTTCACCGTGAATGGACAGCATGGATCCCGAAATGCGGGGCCTGATGATGATAGCCTGGGTTTCCTTAGAACAGGGATACTGGCCACAAGAGAACTCCTCCTGAACAGAGACACCAAGTCTAAATCTTTCAATGTTTAAGAAAGATGCTAATTCCATTCATTTCATTCTGACTAATGAAAAACACAATTACCATTAAAACAGCTGTTCAAAAAGCCAACCAGAAAGCAAATTAATATATTTATTAATATATTTTTAAAAATATTTTATTTATTATTTTTATTTTATGTGTACAAGTATATTGCCTGCATGTATGTGAGTGCACCCGTGTCGTGCCATGCCACGGAGGTCAGAAGAGGGCGTCGGATTCCTCTGGAACTGGAGATAAGGACAGTTTGTAGCTGCCATGTGGGTACTGGGAATCGAACCTGAGTCCTCAGCAAGAGCAGTCAGTGCTCTTAACTGCTGCGCCATCTCTCCAGCCCCATTATTAATGTATTTTTATTCATCTACTGTAGCTCGGTCATAGTCACTGAAATAAGCAAACCTTGGGAGTAATGGTTCTTTTCAAAATTTAGGACTAAACTATTTCTCGACCATATAAATGTAATATACTTAATATATAAATATATTAAATAGAATTAAGAAAAATTACATCATTGAACTGACCCAAGCAGTTCCTCAACCCTGGGAAGAATTCCACTTGCTACCAGAAACCATGAACCAGCAAATTGTGTGTGACATTGCCACATATCTAACAGGAAGACCAAGCTGGAAAAATACTAAGAACTTTCAAATTGCTTTAAAATATTTCTGGAATCAAGACTTTAAAAATATTTTTTTGAGGCACTGGGAATTGAATATGGATCTCATGTATTCTGTCCCTGAGCTCCAATCCTGACTTTTTATTTTTACTGTTTATTACACAGTAGGGTCTTGCTAAGTTGCCCAGGCTAGCCTACAAGTTGGGATTCCCCCTCCCTTAGCTTTTCACATAGCTGGTATTACAGGTGTATCACTGTACCTGCATCCAAAGACCACTTACAAACCATACCCTTCTTTCTAACAAAAAAGAAGGTTGTATTTAGAGTATTGACCTCTACTCACTGTTCAGAAAAGGAGGAAAAAAAAAGACTATTTTAGCCCAAGAAGCACTGTCCCATCTTTCAAATGATCCTTTGTGAGTTTACAGACAGTATATTCTAGATGTTAAAATACAATATATATTCTCCTGATTATGTAACTTTCAAGAAGGAAATAGAACAGGAAAAAAAAAAAAACTAGGCTGAAAATTTTGGGGGGTGAGAATTTGGCATGTTTGGTCATTTTGGGAAATTACTGCATTTCCATGGGGCTCCATAGCCCCACTTCCACTGAGAAGGCCCATTCTGTTGCATGATCTCTACAATACCACAGCATGAACCAAGTTTTAATTAACAGAGATCTGTAGCACCTGCTATATACTGGTGGGAGGGGCGCAGGAGGCAGGGCACTGTGAAGTAGACTTTGGAGTAAGGCTAAAATACTCCATCAGCACTAGCGGAGTGGCCTTAGTGTAAGTCTCCTTCACTGATAAAAAGTTTAATGTTTACTTTTAAAAGATGTTTGAAGTAACAGAATGTGTGCAATGTGTCCAGCATACTGCAGGCACTAAATAAGGCAGTGTGTTCTTGGTCAGGTAAAAAAAAAGTTCTAATGGGAAAGGATAATCTACTTAATACTGTGCTTTCTTATAACTTGTTTGGAGAGAGCCAAGACTGCTGGCCAGTGTTTTCCAAATGGAAAGTAGGTAAAGACTTGATTGAAGAGAGATAAAAGCTGGAGCTGAAGATAAGCAGGTGGCTTGAATCCTGCACATAACAACAATGGAAAGGAAAAATGTATGGGATTTAATGCTAGAGGAAAGAAGACCGTTTTCATTAGAACCCCTGAAAAGAAAAGTAAAATGAATTGAATGTACGCAATGATTTCATAACCACAATGAAAACAAAGCTGCTTAGAGCCTATGAGTGCCTCTGAAGGAAAACAAGAAGGCCATTGCAATACACAAATCATCTTAATCTGTCTGTAGTTCCCACAGGAAGCAGGTGATGCAGGTCCTGCTCCCCTCTACAGTGTCATCTCCTACCACTGTCCACCAATCTGGCTTTACTGTTCCAGGCAAACTGGGCTTCCTTTACCCCTGGAACGCGCTAAACTCATTCCTTGACTGTCTTTGTACTGTTACTGGAAACTTCCAGATTTCCCCATGATTGACTCACTCCACATACTCAAGTCTCACCCAAGGCATCACCATTTTAGGGACATCCTCCAGAGCTCTTCATACCCAAGTCACAACAATGGGCCGTACTTGTGCTTTTCTGGCATTCATAACTATCTAAACTTATATTTTTGCTTGCACATTCAATCTCCACCAAAATCTAAGGTCCTGGAGGTCTACAGTGTTCAATACTCTAAGACCTAAAGCAGTGTGTAGCATACGTTCAGCATGTAAATTGCTAATGAAAAAAATCAAAAGGATAATAATTACCATCCGTCTATGGATATATATCCTCAAAGAAGTTTTAATTTCACTTTTTAATAGTGTTCTAAAATAATGCAATCATAAAAGGTCCATGTGTGATACAGCAATGTTTCAAGGAGACTGGATTCTCTCTAACAATAACAAACTATTACATGTATATGCCTATTACTTAGCAGATGGCACTGCATACATTTGACTTCATGACCATGATTACTCAGTATCTTATTATCATTAGAATCTATTAATAAAGTCAGAACACTGTAAGTTGCTCTCTTCCATCAAATCGTGCTTCTAGGAAGAGGATGGCTACATGAAAGGTAGATGGGAATTAGCTTTAGAGCCCTGAAACAAAGACATCTAATGGGGCACCCTGGGGTAATTCAGGTGAACTGAGAGATTAGACCTGCTATTATGTTACTTTACTAAACTTACTAAAACCATCCAGACGATCAAGGGATAGATTCAGTGATTCCATCTCTGGACACCGTCTGGCATATTAAGAGAACACTAAGAAAAGTTACACAACGTCAACCCATGTTCCAACTAGAAGAGGAAGGAAAAATAAAATGCTATTGAGATTAAAAAAAAAAAAAAAAAAAGGCAGTTTGAGTGGACAGAGCAGCGAACTGAAACCAAGGCTACTGCATTCATGACTCATGCTTTAATGTTCGTTCTGTTTCGAACAGGGCATTTCTTGAAGAGTACAAAAGGCCGGTAGCCCACTGTGCCCAGCCAGCCCACCCTCCCACCCCCGTGGTCCTCCCGGGTCTTGCCGAGGGCCCAGGGCGCCGGCTGGACCACCGCATCCTGGAGGAGGCTGGAGAGTGCGGCTCGCATCCTGCATCCCTCCCCCAGTCTCCGCCCAGGCCGCGGTGGGCTGTACCGGGCAACCGGACTCCGTATCACACAGTCGCGCCCCGCTCTGGCACCGCAGGACGAGCTGCATGGCCCCCGCCAGGTCTCGGGGAGCCCGGGAGGCCCCGGACCTCGGGACTCGGCTTCCCAGCCTACCTCGTCGGCGGTACGGGCGGCCCGCCGGCCTGATGACCCGCTGGCGGTCCCCGCCGGCTCGCACTGGGGCGGGGCTGCGGGGCGGGACCGGCCGAGCCCAGGATGCTCTGCCTCAGCGACCGCAACCCTGGGCCGCCGGAGCCCGTGACGTCAGCACGCTGGCCGCGCGCGCGCGCAGCAGTTCGGAGGGACAGAAACTTGGGCTGAGGGCTAGGTGCGCTGCAGGAGCCCGCCGATTGGTTAAAGGACCTGTCAGTCTGATGCTGACCAGTAAGCGGTTTCGGAAGGGATTGGGGCGGGCTGGGCCGCCTGGAGCCCAGGTCGGGGTTTGAGAGCTTGCTGTGGTAGAAGTCAGCTGCTGTGTGCTGTGGGGTTGTTCTGTTGGGGTTCTACAGATGTCCTTCAGTCATTCTGTGGGATTTCAGGCCCCTGACACCTTGCCTTGGACTGTACACCCGGACTCCAACTTGAATTCTTTGCTCCCCCAAACTTATGTTGGAGGCCTCTGAGGTCCCCACTCCATAACACCTCCATCATTAGTGCTAGTTGCATCAAATTATATTTGCGTGTTGTGATCCTTCGAGATTGGACACTAAGTGTTGGTTTATGTAAAATATTTAACTTTTCAGAGTAGATGCTACAGCTACCTCATTCAAAAATGTAAAGGAACAGAGGGATAAAATGCCTACACCCCAGTTGCTGAGGTGCTCTGCCTCTTGGAGGCAGAGAGTATTGATACTCATAAAGACATTTCCAAAGTCATTCCAAGTAAATTCATATAAATCTAAAAAAATTTAGCATTACAAATTAGCTGAAACAACGTTTCATACACTCATTAAAAGCTCAATCTTTATATAAAACTTCTTGGTTCCTGTGCACTGACGTGTGTAAGATACGCTCAAGTTGAGATCTAAGCCTACACAAACATCTGCCTCTCTTTTTAAATACTACACAATAGTCCTCAGAACCAATAGGTGTAATTTGCCATTTCCCTGCCCTCAGATATGTGCTTTGTTTCTTTCATTGTTAAGAGCAGAAATGTATTTAACTGCAGGCAAAACACACATAAAATAAAAATAAATCTGATTATCCAACATTTGCAAAGTGATTATATTTTCAATTATGTTCTTTTTACCTTTTGTACATGTATATTTATGGCTATCATCTCAACATGAGTCCATTATCTCACATATATTGTGAATAAATAGTGTTTCTTAGTGTGTCATCTTTTCATTACACAATTAATCTTGAGTTCTTAGGCTCTGGTATGAGTTAATATTCTTCCTGGTTCTCAGGTGATGAAAAGAACTTAAAACATTTTAATTTCCTTCGTTTTATGCAATTCTTGTTATGTAATTAAATTGTCTTTTAAATATGCCCAAAATATAATTTTACTTTACAGAAACGGTTTACATTTAACCATATATCTATCCGTCCTTTGCTTTTCATTACTTCAGACAACTCTGGGAACTTAGCAATGATTTCTTTACTAAAGGTTAGAGCAAGTCTGTTGCTGATAAAATCTCTACAAGGTATCTAAGATGAGATACCACTATCTATTACTCCAAGCTAGTTTGTATACTCAGGTAGAACTACTTCCTTTTCAGATTGGATGCAGCAATATGGTTACTCATGGGAGTAGTCACAGGTGGATACTTGGTTTGACATCAGCATCAATACTATCTAAGAATGGATTGAGCATGTTGATAGATACCAATATTGTTTTAGAGTCATGCCATGGATGACTAACAAAAGGGTCTGTGGTGATGTTCGAAACATGGCCCAAGTATGCATCTCCACAGCCTGGTTCATTTTTAAAAATTAGTTTTTTACTAAGTAGAAACTATCAGAATTAAATCTTGGTCAGAACTCTAAAAAACCAGAGTTTTTCAAATGTTTATAGTAATAAAACAAGAAATGTGTCAAAAAGTTAAAATGATTGGAGAGTTTCAGATCATTTTTGCTTAGTGTTGACCAACTCCTATTCCTTCCTGCAACCTGGACAACAGCAGTCTGTGTTCCCATGGTCCCAGAGGAGGCCTTTAAAGAATGGCATTTGTCTATTCTAAACTATCTCAGGCTCCATGAGAACTGGTGAAAGGTAACTCTTTGTTTTGCCTAACTCAGAATTCTCTCAGACCAGAAGGTTTGGGTAGTTCTTAAAAGCATTCTAGGGCTCATTAGGACTAGTGAACACTCTGCAACTATGGGTGTGGATGCACTATAACCACCTTCCTCAAGTTCTGCAGCCACTACTCCCCTGCCATGTTGGACTGTAACCTAGAACTGTTCTCCAAAATAAGACTTTTCTGCCTTAGTTGCTTTTGTCTATTTTCTCATGGCATTTTGCAAAGTAACTGATGCATCCTATTAATGAGCTGTGCAATATTGTAGCAAAAGGCTTCAGATAATAAAGAAAGAGAAGGTTTCATTTGGCTCACATTCATAGAGGGTCCAGTCTATAGATAGCTGTCCTCACTGCTTTTAGGCCCATGACAAGGCTACATCATGGTGGAAACACATGGTGAATGAAGCTGTTAAAATTATAGCAGCTGAGAAGCAAATTAAAAACAATGAAAAGATGGTCTGGACTTCCAATGTCCGGTTCCTGTGTATACCCCTAGTGATACAATGCTTCCACTATGTCCTAAATATTCTAACACTTCCAATTAGTGAAAAACTTTTAGCACATAAGCCTTTGGAGCACATTCAGAATCCAAAATATAGCAATTCATCTTAGGAGCTGAAAGAAATAATACTGAAAATGAGCAAAACCTACAGGACATATGATATATCAACAAGGATGCCAAAATGTTCAAGAGAATGAAAGAGAAAGGGCATTAGAGGAGAAACAGATGTAAGGCTCCTCAAATTTTACGCAGAAAATAGAGAATAGAATAGAAAGTAGAGCCAATTAGTCAGAACTGAAAGGAGGGGTCATTACACTAGCATTGTGGAAATAAAAAAGTTAGCCAGATAATATTATGAAGAATTATTCTCAGACAAATTAAATAACCTAAGTGTAAAGGACAAATTCCCAGAAGCATACAAATTCTCCAAACTGACTCAAGGGGGAAAAAAAAGGAACAGAAAATATGAACAGATATCAAGAGAAGAGATTAAATCAGCTAAAAAATATTTAAAGATGAAAAAGAAAAATTCTAAAATAAAATATGCAATAGGTAAGGCTTTGGATGGAAAAATCCTGGCCTAAAAAAATTGAGTCAATTAGTTAGGAAATTGTGCGTCATTGAGAAAAACAAGGGTATAATCAAAAAGAGCTAATTACCTCATAAGTACTTATCTGTGTTAAGTCTCTGGGATTTTTTAAAAAAACAAATACTGAAGATATTCTGTTGGTATGCATGGCCACACAATATCTGAAAAGGGTCACAAGGATCTTCTTCCCACAGAGCTCATTTTATCCGACAGTGATCAATTCATCATTGAGCTTGATGAAGTGTGGTTCAGTGATAATACATCATACCTGCCCTCCACATTAGCCAGTGATTCATCAGAACTTTGGGTTTTCTCGGTTTATAACAGCATCGTGTCTCTAGAAAGGAAGTTATGGAATGATTTATGCATTGGATACACAAAGTCAGAGAGCAAAATGATGCGAAATGGTTGATGTCTGACCCAGTTCTGAGCATTCTGTTAATTCATCTTCTAACTTACAGGATGAGACACCATTTAGTCTAGAAAGAGTGTCCCATACAGAATTTTAAAGGAACTTAAATATATGTTGAGGTGTGTATCAATTACTCTGCTCATCACTGTGAACAAATACGAGAAGTAACTTCAGAGAAGAGAGGTCTATTCTGGCCCATGGCTCAGAGAATGCAGTCCATTGCTGCAGGAAGGGCTTGGTGGCAGGAGCAGCTCATTTGTTTATCAGTGTGAGAATGAGGCAGCAGGTTGTCACATTGACAGCCAGGAAGCAGAGACTGGGCCCAGAAGCAGGGCAGGCCTATTAAAAAGCCTTTTAAGACATACCCCAAAGCAATCCACTTCCTCCAGCTAGGCCATACCTCTTAATGGTTCCAGAACCTCCCAAAACATACTACCAGTTAGGGACCAAGAGTTCAAACACATAAGTCTGTGGGGACAAGATTACCAATCTGGACCAGAGCCATAGTTAAAACTTTATTTTACTTTGTGCCTGGAGAGCTGGCTCAACAGTCAAGAATATTTGCTGCTTGAACAGATAACACAAGTTTGGTTCCCAGCACCTATGTCAGGTGACTCACAACTGCCTGTAATTCTAGCTCCAGGGGATCTGAAGCCCTGGCCTCTGCAAGTACGCATGCATGCACACATGTGGATTACACACACACACACACACACACACACACACACATATAAAAATAATAAAAAGTTAAAAACCATTAAAAATTCTTTATTCCATTTTAAACGGGTCTCTTGACAAAGCTTAGCTGATGTCTTTTTAAAGCATGGCTGATCTTTTTCATGTTCACATAGATTGGGAGTCTCATGGTCTATGTGAACTCTAAGTTCTTTGTAAAGTTTTACTCACTTTTTGGGGTCACTTCACAAACAGAGATCAGCTTATTGTCTTATTGAATAGAGCTCTGTAGTACAAATCTGAGACTAATTTCCTTGAGCAAAAGCTTAACTACCAGGGCTGGAGAGATGGCTCAGTGGTTAAGAGCACTGACTCCTCTTGTAGGAGACCTGGGTTCAAATCTAGCACCCACATGACAGCTAAGAACCATCCTTAACTACAGTTCCAAGGGAGCTGATGTCCTCTTCTGTCCTCCGTGGGCATTGCACGACGTGGATGCACTTACATACATGCAGGCATAACATTCATACACATAAAAAAATAAAAATAAATAAAAATAAATTTTAAAAAAGAAAAGAATTTAATTACCTTTACCAGGACTGAAAAGGTATCCATAAATGCTGATAAAACTTTTTAATTATCTGGTATTTTAGGCATCTAAATAAAATCTATTTGCTAGTCTTCAAAGGGAGAAAATCCTCTTATTTTGCAGACCTTTCTGAAGTGAATTGTGCTTGGTTTGGGGATTATTTTTATAGCACAGAAATGTCATCCTTCTGTAATCCTTTAAACAGTCTTTTGAAGGTGAGGCTCTTCTAAGGAGACCATTCCTAGTGTGTTAAAA